TGATTACAGCAAAGGCTGTACCCTCTGAACCTGGCTGAAGCCAAATAAAACTGTTTTCTGCTCTTTGGTGCTTTGCCTCCTTTGTCCCTACAACATTTTTGGTGACTATGAAGGGACCGAGGAGGTAAGGAAGGCTATTCTGCCTCTCTTGTCTCAGGGGACAGGCTTCCCTGGGGTGATGGGGGACAGCGGTCCCCTTGATGTGCCCAGGCCACTCTTGGCCTGAAGGAGGATCCACTCACCCAGCGCCCTGAGGCTGCCACCCCAGAGCACAATGGAACCTACAGGCAGCAGGAACCAGAATTAGGGTTTTGGACACTGCCCATCTGAACAGGTAGGACCTGGGTCCTTTTGGTTTTGCAGCCCACCTGACTTCCCCTTCGAGGCCTAAGCGGGTGGAAGAGAGGCTTGATCACCCTCTGTTGGGTCTGGAGTACCTCCAAAGTGGTTGGAGCTCAAATGGACCCGGACCCGGGGAGTTGCCGGAGTAGTCTCTGTTCGGGGTCAGCGAGCAGAGGGGAAACCGTGACTCCCTTTTCTCTTTGGTTTGGAATTGTTGGAATTTGGGTGGTATAGAAATTCTGTCCTGGCCATGTCTGTTTCAAAGTGTGTAAAAGTGTGTGAATGAGATGAACAAAGAGAAGGGTTCTGACCCAACCCGGGGGCTGAAGCGAGTGCAGAGTCCTGATCCGCGGTTCTGTGGCACCTCATACAGTCTATGGTGGAATTTCACCAACCAACGTCTAGGTGAAAGCTCCAGGTCGGGGGTTGATACAGACCCACAAGGCTAAGGGGGCCCTAAGTCCCTGCGAGGGGAACAGTCAGAGATGGGTGAAGTGAGTCTTGTCCTAAATGTATTTTGTTCTAAGTGTGTGACACCAATGCAGGGTGGAATATGGGAGGCACACTAAGGAAACTGAGCCTTCTGAAATGTGTGTTAGAAACCTTTAGGAAGGTTTTCCTGGTAACTGTGGAGGTGAAACTTACTCCACAAAGGTTGCACATTCTGTGACTTAGAGTGGCCCACCCAAGATGTGGGATGGCCACCAGACGGATCTTTAGATGAGAGAGTCACTGCTGAGGTCCTTTTGATTGTTGTTGGAACCCCTGAACCAATTCTCTTATATTGATTGCTGGCAAGGGATAGTACAGAAACAGCCCCCTTGGTTGAGAGCCTGTCTAGATGGACAGTCCAGTCTGATGTTAGCCAGGAGCATAGTGGTCTCTACGACCCAGTGGAAAGCAGCTAAACAGAAAAGACAAGAAAGGAAACAGTTTTCCCCGTGAGCCAGAAGAGGACCCAGGACCTTTTGTGTCACTCTACCCAACTTTTCCAAGACCACTGGGACAACAGACTGTCCCCTCAGCTCCCTTGTCCTCAGAGGCAACAAATGAAGGCCCCCCAATACTGGCTACTCCTTCCTCTGCGATGTCCTCAGAGCCAAAGGCTTCCTGGAACCAAAGACTCTTTCACCTCCAAAGATAAAGGTGGGAGATTTGTCCCAAGACCAGAGCCACAACTCAGATGAGAGCACTCCAGATGCCCCTGCAAGGGACTAAAGGACCTGCCCATGTTGACCAGAGGGAAACACCTGAGGGAGACAAGGCAGTTTTGTGTGCCAGCCTTTCACCACCATTGAGCTCATAAGCTGGAAAAACCATACTCCCTCCTACACGGAGAAACCCTGGGCCATGACTGATCTGATGCAGCCCATTATCCAGACCTAGGATGGGGCCCAACAAAAAAGAAGGTCTAAAGATAAAGAAATGTCAAGAAGCCCTCATAAAAAGTCTAAAAGAATTTTTTAAAAAAAGAGAGAGAGAGAAAGAGAAAGTAAAACACATTGTCTGTGGGCTGGGGATGTGGCTCAAGCGGTAGCTCACTCGCCTGGCATGCGTGCGGCCTGGATTTGATCCTCAGCACCACATACAGACAAAGATGTTGTGTCCGCCAAATACTAAAAATAAATAAATATTAAAATTCTCTCTCTCTCTCCTTCTTTCTCACTCTCTCTCAC